CACACTGATTATTTTACAGCCACATCCTAATCAGCCTCTCATTTATAGAATGTTCACTTTGTCTGGTTTTGTTGCAGTCTGCCCCATATTATTTGTAAATATTAATATGTAACTCCAAGGTGCGCAATGCTATGGGGTATTGAACAAATTTTCGAATTGGAAGTTTTCGATTAGAGCAATCTGGGTTTGTCACAACATTCTTTCTCAGCCTGGTCACACGAGAAATGGCAAACGTGGGCCCAATATTTTTTCGGTAATCCACTAATACCTTAATGATTTCATGGCATCGAATGGTAAAAATAGAAAGACTGAACCAGTAAAGTTCAATTTGAAGTGAGAATTCACAACGTTTTGCATATGCACTTTAAGGAATAAATTATATTCAAGGTTTTAACAAAAATAACAAATCAAATCAAATCAAATCAAATCAAATCAAATCAAATCAAATCAAATAAATATCTAGTTTTATAGAAATTGAAAGTAACAAATTACTAATGACATACACAAGGAGAAAGTTGCGGTGATAGCAAAAGACACTAGATGACTTGTATCAACTACAAAACCAATTTTTACAGCCTTAAAAAAAATCGACATTCAACCAACAACCCTGTTCTTTAGGTTAGGAGGATGAGAATACTTTCTGATCTGATTGTATTGCTAGTAATAGAGAGATTATCAATGGATGTTCAACCACTGTATCGATTACAAAATGTCTATGCCAAATTAGGGTGAGATGTCCAAACTTACTGTATTTATACAAAATGCCACGGCATATCAGTGATAAAACAAGCAATTTGAGAAAATTCTTGATGGTAGCAACGGTTATATCGATAGTTATTTGATTTTTTATCTCTGAATTTGTTTTTATGTTACAGTGAATATGGGACACAATATCATTCGCTGTCAGATAATTTTTAACGTCTTTGAAATATTTCGGGTGTATTACAAGCATATGATTTAATTTTCCAATATGCGAATGACGCATATAAACAGTAGTCTATGCTTTTACACTTACTATTATTCTGATATTTATTCCACCCAACAATTGAGACGATAACGATAAGTTTTTTCGCCACAATATTCACCACTACCCCAAAAACCCTCTATATAATTTCTTATATTTTCTCTTTTATGGTTTTATTTGCATAAAGGGCAGGATACGGATCTGAAGTAAATATTTTTAAAACTATGTTTCAGAGTTAAATAAGGAAACCGCTCTAATTACTAATACCTTTAATAACACATTGTTGTCTTTTTCAGGATCGTTTGGTAGAACAGAAATTGGAAATTGTCGTTTAAATGATATTAATATAGGCAGAACATTTATCTGCTGCACCTTACCTGGGTTTCGAACGAACTGTCCTGTAAGATACAATTATCGGTTTTTTCGATTTGGTTCCGGATTTATCCAAGGATCAAGTCCAGTAATATTTTGCAAATCAGTTAATTTGGAATACCAATTCGGGGTCAGTACCTTATCAGACTTGGCTTGTGGTCATTTATATAATTTCAAAAGCAATTTAATTTCTCGCATTGGATATCACATACTAAAAAATATTATTTCACAAATTCGTGCCAGATGAGTACAGTTGATGAGTTTTTTTAATGCGTCTCTGAGTGTACGTTAACTGCAATACTATATACACTTCACCAACAATGAAAGTAATAAATTTGCGGGTTTTATGCAGTAATTTGAATTTTGCGCCTTTAATATAGTATGATCCAGTTTCATATTTACCTTCCATGTCTTCCTCATCATCATGGTTAAATTGTATAATGGACATAATGTCTCGGCAGTAATTCCGTAATAATTCATTACTGAATTCATAATACTACTACATATTAATATGTATACAGTATGTTTTAATAAACTTCGCTTTAAAAAATTTCATAAAGAATATTTATTTATCTAGTTCTAAGGGTTCCAATCCAATTTATAAATTACTGGCGAAAGTATTGTAATAGTCGAGAGACATTATAAATATAATTGTATTCGTACTTTATTTCGTTCATCTTTCTCGTTGAAAATTTTGTTTGAAAATATTTATTGAAGAAATCAGCATTCGAAATATTACAGTACAAGGGATAAGCCCAATGGAAGCAAGCAGCACTACTACCGCTTCACCGAAACTACCTCACTTAGTGGGTATTCACACATTTTGTGGATCAATATCAGCGGTTGCAATTCTTTACTCTGTACAAGACTTTGTCAGCATCAAGTGGCAGAGCAATGAGCACTTGATAAGATCCCACGCAAAACTTATCTGATAACGACTGTGGTGATTTTAATACCACTTCTAAACTAAGCATGAGCTGGCAGTCAACAAGCTATTTAAAGTTCT